CGCTTGAGGAGCAACTGGGGGACTGCAGTCTAATGTCTGCTGTTTTAAGTTTTTTTGGTTTGTTTTTTTTTAAACTTTTTTTCCAAATTGATTTGCATTAGCCTGCAAAATAAAAATATGTATTACATTACAGTACATTAAGGCTACAACTTTAAATGTTTAGACAGCTGAATTTTTAAATATTTGAAGCTTATTGGCTTGGCAGTTAATGTAAGCCTTTTTTCTCCTTTTGGCTCTCATCCCTAGGTTGCCATGGTGGCAGATGTAGGGGGCACAAATGTAGATGATGCAGAGAGACACAGAGAGAGAGAGAGAGAGAGAGAGAGAGAGAGAGAGACAGGTGCACAGCAACAACAGTATTGTCAATAGCAATCTAGCAGGACTATGGCAGGAGGCTCCACCAGGATCGATAAGAACCTGCGAGACGAGAAAGCACAAGAACTCCGGGGAAGAAGTGAAGGTAGTAACATGCATTAATGGGACATGAATGAGCGCAGAAAGAGAGAGCCTATCGCAGCATAACTAAGGGATGGTTCAGGACTCACCTGATCCAGCCGTAACTATAAGCTTTATCAAAGAGGAATGTCTTAAGCCTACTCTTAAATGTGGTGAGGATGTCTGCCTCCCGAACCACAACTGGAAGCTTGTTCCACAGGAGAGGAGCTTGGTAACTGAAGGCTCTGGCTCCTGTTCTACTTTTCGAGACTATAGGAACCACAAGTAGCCCAGCATTCAGAGAACGTAGTGTTCTATAGGGGTAATAGGGTACTATGAGCTCTTTAAGATATGAAGGGGCCTGACCATGAAGAGCTTTATATGTGAGGAGGAGGTTTTTAAATTCTATTCTACATTTGCCAGGGAGCCAGTGCAGAGAAGCTAGTACAGGAGAGATGTGATCTCTTTTTTTAGTTCCTGTCAGTACTCGTGCTGCAGCGTTCTGAATTAATTGGAGTGTTTTAATGGACTTATTGGGGCAGCCTGATAATAAAGAGTTGCAGTAATCCAGCCTTGAAGTAACAAATGCATGGATTAGTTTTTCTGCATCTGTCTGTGATAGGATGTGTCTAATTTTTGTAATATTACATAAATGAAAGAAGGCAATCCTAGAGGTCTGCTTCATGTGGGAGTTAAAAGACAAATCCTGATCAAAGATAACTCCAAGATTCCTGACAGTGGTGCTAGAGGCCAAGGTAATGCCATCTGGAGTAACTATATCTTTAGACAGTGAGTCTGAGTTTAACATTAGAAAATTGCAGCTCATCCAGGATTTTATGTTTATAATTTAGATAACTGATTAATTTCATCGGGCTTGATCGATAGATATAACTGCGTATCATCTGCATAACAGTGAAAGTTAATGGAGTGATTCCTAATAATGTTGCCTAAAGGGAGCATATATATAGTAAATAGCTTGACTGTACATCCAACCGCATGCCAGTGACAAGTTGTCGATTTCAGCAGATTCGCCATAAAATAGTACTTATCACTTCAGTGTGCAATGTTCAATCCCCAATAAACTTCATATATTCTGAAACAGTTTTGCCCTGAACATGTCCTCATAACTTCAGCGTACGTGTTCCAATCTCAATGAAACTTCACGTGTTTGATAACAGTCTCGCCTTGAACATGACTACATGACAACATTCAGACATAGTGATAGCTCCATCTACTGGCAACAGGAAGTAAGCGCTGCGTGGCGATTTTGAGCTGAGTTACGTGAAATGACCGTGCTGGTGACGACTTGTCGAATTCAGCCGATTCGCCATAAAACAGCACTCATAACTTCAGTGTGCAATGTCCAATCTCCAATAAACTTCATATATTCTGTAACAGTCTCGCCCTGAACATGTCCTCATAACTTCAGCGTACGTGGTCCAATCTCAATGAAACTTCACGTGTGTTATAACAGTCCCGCCCTGAACTTTTCTACATGACAATATTAAGACTAAGTGGTAGCGCCACCTACTGGCAACATGAAGTAACCGCTGTGTGGCAGTTTTGAGCTGATTTAAATGAAATTTTGTGTTTTGGTTCGCACGTGTAACGACAGCACATGACGCGGCCGCAGCACGCCCCGAGTTGCGTGGAGTGCGAGGTCCCGCTCAACGCGACTGACTGCATTTTTGCCCCGCTGAACATATACGAAAAGTAAATTTTATTTGGCAAAGTTGTCAGGCCTGGTGAAAATGGGGATATTCTATGGGTCGCTTTCGGGTTGGCCACTAGGTGGCGCTAGTATCATAAAAAATGTGTTTATGCTAATAACTTCTGCATAGTTTGTCGCACATTCAAAAACCTTGTATCCACGCGTTCGGTAAATGGAGCTGAATCTCCCCATATAGGCCACGCCCACTTCCGCCTATAATTTTTTCCGCTAGAGTGCGAAATGTCCATAAACTACTTTTCCGTGTTCCCCCCATGCGCTTTGTCCGATTCCGAAGTTTTTTCACCTAGCATCTGAGGACCCTCATAATAAAGAAGTAATTAACAGAATTTTGATATTTTAAAAAACCAGCATGTTAGAAAATTAGCACTTCCTGTGGATTTTTCGTCAAAAAAGGACCATTTCTCCACAGTGGTATGTCCGATTGACACCAAACTTGGGTCCATAGTTCCACATGTCTTTCTTAGGCATCGTGCCCAATTTCAGGCCATTGCCACAAGGTGGCACTCTTTAAAATGAAGAAGTTTATATCTCTACAACGGTATGTGTGATTAAGATGAAACTTGGTACGATGCTTCCCCATGGCTCCCTGAGGCTCCCTTAAAAAGGACAAAAAAAATACGCCACTAGGTGGTGCTCTTTTGGCATGATGAATCACTGTGCGGAGACCGTAATAGTTATGAATATGAAATTCACAGGGTACGTGTTCGTCGTGTGTGTAGTGCCCCCTACAGGATAAGAAAACAGCAGCCCCGGCGCCACGTTTCACCAATATGTACGAAACTCAGTAGACACGTGTAACATGCCGGGACGTACAAAAAAGTCTCTTGGACCCATACCCGAAACCCCACAGGAAGTCAGCCATTTTGATTTAAGGTTTCACTTTCAGCGAACTTTTCGCGTTGTATTTGAACGAACTCCTCCTAGGGAATTTATCGGATCTGCTTAAAAATTTGTGAGTACAGTCAAAAAATGGTTCTGATTAAAAGTTGTGCTATTTGTGCATGTACATTAAAGGGCGTGTCCGTGGTGTGCCCTCAAAGTTGGCCATAGTGAATTCTGTGCGCATTTTCGGTGATTTTTTCGCGTTGTATTTGAACGAACTCCTCCTAGGGAATTTATCGGACCTACTTCAAAACTGGCCAGTACAGTTAAAAATTGGCGCTGATTAAAAGTTGTGCTATTTGAGACTGTATGTTGAAAGGCGTGTCTGTAACGTACCGTCAAAGTTGGCCAGGTTGAATAAAATGTCAAACTATGATTCCATTTCCGGCATTATGCAGTGATTTTCAGCGTTTTTTTGTGTTGTATTTGAACCAACTCCTCCTAGAGAATTTATCAGATCTGCTTCAAAATTAGTCAGTACAGTCAACATATGTTGTTGAATAAAAGTGCTATTTGTGACTGTACGTTGAAGGGTGTGTCCGTGGCGTGCCTTCAAAGTTGGCCATGTTGAATTTTGCAGCCATTTCCTGCTATTTCTCGCCTTGCATTTGAATGAACTCCTCCTAGGGAATTTATTGGAAGTACTTAAACATTGGTCAGTACAGTCAAAAAATGGTGTTGATTAAAAGTTGTGCTATTTGAGACTGTACGTTGAGAGGCGTGTCTGTGGCATGCCGTCAAAGTTGGCCATTTTGAATTCTGTGGTCATACAAACTGATTGAAAAGTTGAGCTATTTGTGACTGCGTCAAAATTGCGTTGTATTTGAACGAACTCCTCCTAGGGAATTTTTCGGATCAACTTCAAATTTAATCAGCGCAATCTAAAGATATTCATGATTAAAAGTTGTGCTATTTACAACATTCCGTCACACGGCATGTCCATGGCATGGCATCAAAGTCAGCCATTTTGAATTCCAGCTCATTTTCTGTGATTTTTCGCCTTGTATTTGAACGAACTCCTCCTAGGGAATTTATCTGATCAACTTCAAATTAAATCAGCGCAATTCAAAGACATTCATGATTGAAAGTTGTGCTATTTACGACATTCCGTCAAACAGCGTGCCCGTGGCGTTGCTTTGAATTTCAACCATTCACCATGAACAGATAGTACTCAATTTCAGTGTACAATGTCCAATCTCCACTAAACTTCACATATTCTGTAACAGTCCTAGCCTGAACATCCTCATATATATATATATATCTACTTAAAAATTGGTCAGTACAGTCAAAAAACATTGAGTTATAGTGATAGCGCCACCCACCTAGGGGTGAAAGGACGTGTCATTTTTATACTTTACTGTATATCTTCCAGCAGATTGACCAGAGCCAGCTAAAATCCTGTCAGAATTCCCTTAGGATGATGACGATGACATCTTGTGGATCTTAACATAGATAGATAGATAGATAGATAGATAGACTTTATAAATCCCCGAAGGGAAATTGTGTCGTCATAGCAGCCAAGTACATTTAAATACAATAAAATACAATAGAATAATATAAAAGAATAGAGTAAAATACTAGATATACTTAGATAGAAAAGATAAAAAATATATAATAGGTAGGTAAGGTCCAAAGAAGTTGTAGTTGTAAGATGGTGGTAATAGTACTGAAATGATGGTAGTGTTATTGTTAATAACAGTATATAATAATATAATATAATAGTAATGATATGTTGTACTTGTGTACACATATATATTATAAATTAATAAGCAAAATGTCTTAGCCACGCCCCCCAGAAAGCCCATAACCCAAACTCCTGCCCTGAACACATTTACATGACAATATTCAGATATAATGATAGCACCACCTACTGGCAACAGGAAATATCCAGTTTTATTATTTTATGTTCTACTCCTATCAGGTCTCAAATATGGTCAGAAAATGCAAAACATATGGTTGATATATTTATTTATAAGTCACATCTATGTGATCATATTCAGTAATAGTGATAGCGCCACCTAGTGGCAACTGGAAGTTGTCATAATTACAGTGTACTTTATCCAATCTCCACCAAAATTGGTACTCACATGTGCCATGATCAGACAAGCAAAAAGGCCTCTTGGACCAATAACCAAACAGTAGTGGTAGTAGTAACAGGAAGTACATAACCCATTACTAGTGTAAAATTTCATGTAAATGCCTAAACAAAGGAAGGTATGGGAAAACCTGAATAAGCAACAGCATATAAGAGACAGCATTTAATATTACAGAATACAAATTTGGATAACTATGTAATTTGTACTGTTATAAATGGAGTTGTCATGTAGGAACAGAAACCAAAACCAATTGAATTTCAATTGAATTCTATTTGTATATTGCAACATCATAATAGTTATCACAGACTGACAAGTTTAAATAGAGTATGTCTCTCAGGTACAGACAGAAAGATCTATACTGAGAGAGAAAGAGATGCATAGCAACAGCAATAGTAACAATAACAACTATAATAGTATGAGTAATAATGATAACGCTGATGAAAATGACAACATAAACAGCCATAAAAAAATATGATGATAATAACAATAATATTAGCAGTGGGTGTCAAGCAGGATCACAGCAGCAGGCACAACCAGTATCCATGAGAATCTGTTAGACAAAAAGGCACAAAAACTGCAGGGAAGAAGCACACGTTAGTAACATGACATTTAGGATTTTTATATATAGTTTTGAGTTACAAATATGGGCTTTGATGTAAATGTAAAAAAAAATCAGCAGGACACCGCAGGGAATTGAACCCCATCCCAGTAAACCAGGAGTACCATTACCAGTATCTTTTGCTTTCTGACACTACATGAAGGTAAAGCAAAACTAGCAACAGCATAGAAGTGCCAGCATTTCATGGCATAATTGTACTTTACGTTTTTAGCCAATTGTGGATAACTTTGCAGTTTGTGCAGTTTTGAGTGGTTAATGTTTGAGATATTTATTAATAAATGCTGTTGTAATGCAGGAAAAGAAACCTTAACACACATTACTACATTATTATAAATTAAGATTACAAAATTCATAAATATAAATTATTATGTACACATTATATATTAATTTAAAAGATTCCATAAAACACATTTTACAGTTATTCAAGTTGTCCCTGTTCCAAACTCCTAGATGTAAAAGAACATATAATCCCTTCATGGTCACTGAAATATGTGGGCAAGACAACAGACTGTACATCATAATGTGATGTTTTCACATACACATGATCAATTAATGTGCCCTTTTCTGTTGTTGCTTGTTGAAAAAGGGGTTGCTGCTATTGTAGGACAAACTCCTTGGATGATTGTGAAAAGCATAACCATCCATTTTTACAGTCTCCAATGAGGAAACTGCAGGCAGCCATGTTTCAGTAACAGCAATACAGTTAAGCTGCAGATGCTGTGTACACAAAGCCAAATCAGTTACATGTTGAGTCAAATTTTGCACATTGGTCAAAAACACATTAAAAGGTGGTGTAGTGAAATTACAACCTGTAATCTGTGCCTGTGTCGCCAAGAAGGGAGGCATTGTTGCAATTGCATCCTGAATGTTGTCTTTGCAGTATATGGCTTTCTCGTCAAAATCCTGAATAACTAAACCAGACAAACCTCTAACTCGACTTAAAGCCACATATGCTTGACCAGCTGCAAAGATTTTCTTTAGCGAAACTACGGCTTTATCTACAGTAAGTCCTTGGACTTTATGGACTGTACAAGCCCAGGCAAGCTTTAGCGGAAATTGCCGACGTAATCCACCATGTTTAGTCACCCTTTCCTCTTCTGGTTCAATGCCCGTGGAACCTATTTCAACAGCGGAGGCAAATGCTGAGCGTTTCCTCCTTTGTGTTCCCACCCGATGATCATCAGACTTAACATAAATCATCTGTGGGAACTTATCATCATCATCTGGATAAACTATGTGTGATTGTGCCGCACACACCGTTCACTAAAACCATTGTCGACATCCAGATTTTTTAACAGCATTACACGAGCATCTACTCCCAAAAGCAGGGTCTCATCCAGACATGTATCATATGTTCTGCTATGATGTCCTTCCTTCAACTCAAGCTTGCCTGTTTTCTTACTATTTACTAAATATTTTGCCTCTATCTTAACATATTCAGGACAACTCTCGAATAACTGTTTTGCTCATTTACTTGTCTGTTGGTAGGAAAAATGTGTAAAGCTGAGCTGACTTCACCGGTTTCACAACGCTTTAGTAATTGGACATCCGAATCCAGCATTGGGGTCCCTTTTGAACGAGTTCTCACTCTGTTCAACAACTCCGCAAACACAACATCTTTTTGTCGGACTACAGTTTTTAGTTCTACAATCTGAGTCCACAAGCCAACACTGATCATCATCTAAATACAATGCTTTCCCTTTCACTGGAGGCAACTGATAAAAATCCCCAACTGCAATTATGCTAACATATCCAAACGGGGAATAGTCACCACACTGTTTAATTTGTCTTAAACGTCCATCGATGTAGGCCAATAGTTTATGATCAACCATGGAGATTTCATCAATTATCAAAATCTGCAAGTTACTATATTTAGCACATAAAGAATTGAGCTTTTCCTCACCCAGTGGTGTGTAAGGCAAGCGTACATCTTTACCAATGCCAAATGAAGTGTGAATAGCACCTGCATGTAAATTGTGTGCAGCTATCCCCGTAGGAGCAGTTAGCAAAACGCAAATGTCGTCCGGATTGCGACACCCTCTTGACAACAACCTCATTGCCTCATACTGAATAGCCTTTATTAAGTGGCTTTTACCTGTCCCTGCACCACCTGTAACAAAAACGCGCAACGGAGCTATTTTTTCACCATTAACTTTACTCAAACACCACTGTCTAATCTGGTAGAATATAGACAGCTGGCGTTTCATTAAGTGATCTAATTAAGGCCAAGCCATCACTTCTGCACAGGACATTCTGCCTTTTCTTTAAATGAGAAACTTCTCTATTACTAACTGCTAAATCTGGAATACTTTCTACAGGCTCATCTGAAGGTTGTTCACTCTCCCTACGTTCTTCCAAACACTGTAGACGCTCCTGTTCTTGCTCCGGGCAGAGGTCACACCAGGCGTCTTCTAGAACTGCATCAGCGTCAACTGAATTCTGGATATTATCCAACTCTTCAGCATCGATTTCAAATCTGCTGCGATTTGAATCGACAATTGACTTAACTGAATGCAGCAATCCATCATTTAATGTCACATGACCATGACTATAGAATTGTTCAAACGTTGCGAACCCTGGCGGTTTCAGGTGCACATCTGTGCGAAACGGTAAGAACAACTGCATAACTCTTTGTTTCTGAAAAGCGAGCATAACGAACAACTGCAGGTTCGGAACGTATTCTTTTCAAAATGAAACCACAACTGTTCTCTAGTTCTATCCTGTTGACAGACATCTCGGATTTGCTCAAAACACGTTACTCTGAGGCAAATGTTGCCATACACATATCATTAAGGCCTATTCTTATATCTGTCAACAGAACTAGTCATCCACATATCATCTGTGGTAAGGTCATGTGATGATGCCTTTTGTTTTAACACAGATAAAGGCAAACTCATTTTAACAGTGCTATCCCCGACAGGAACAAAAACAACTTTCCTAGAACACTCCTTCAGACGCATGCTAGTCAACCTGTAGACAGCCTCTTGTGCAGACACATCTCTATTGTGTAAATACACACTTCCTAAATTTTTAAGCGCGTCTTTAGCACTGCCATTTCCCTCTCTAGCTGCTTCCCTTTGTGCATTCCCTAATAATAATCCCATCTCACGCTCTGCTTTTGAAATGTAGGAAATAATGTACACTACACAAGCATAAGCGTCAACAACATATTGGATATCAATATTCGCATTCCAATATTTTAAAAGTGGTTTGCTATATTGATTAATCCAAACCTCATTAGCTTGCCTTCTTAAAACAACGTGCGTCATCTTAGCGCAAATATTGTACACTTTCTCAAATATCCTTTGATTTATGCGTAAATGACTAAACAATTGCTCTACACTGTCAAAACTGGCATTGTCATCTGAAAGGGCGATTTTAATTTTTGTTGTAATGTTCACTGCCATTGCTTTTTGTTCTAATTTTTTCTGTTTCCTAATTTTGCATGCACAATCTGCCAATTTTTGTGCTCTTTCTGACATGTGCATGTTTTATCCTCCTCCTCGTCTTGAATTACCTCTTCATCAGTATTTTTATCAATTATTGGCGCATTTTCTATCCAAAACAGGCAGTGAACATGTGGTGAACCACGTTGCTGGAATTCAACCCTATAGAAGTAATCTATTATTTTGCCAATGGGATTAGATGGAGACATTAAAACCTCTTTCAAAAAACAATGCCAGCGAAAATCAAACATCATCGCTGCAGTAATGGGATAACGCCGCAAAAGTTCACATCTATCTGCCCACTCCAGCTCTTCGGCCGTCTCTGTCCTACCTTCCTGTTTCAAAATGCTATTCAAAAGATTCTTCCACCGCATATCAGCAGAAGAAAAAGAACAAAACCACGTTGGGATCCCCAGCTGACGAACACAAGCTAACAAATCCCGCTGCACGCCCTGCCAAAAAGATGGGGTACCTCTAATAGGTTTAAGAAAGCGATACCCATCATCAAACTGCAACAACTGCTTTAATTGTTCCTCATCATTTAATACATTAGTGGTTATTTTTTTAAATTGCCCTCCTTTTCCCTTCCGTATTGCTATTGATACATTTGACATAACCTGTTGAACCTCAGACATGTACTGAGCAAATAAGATATAATCAACATTTTGTGCAAATCTACTATCAGCATGTAAAATACGATTATTAAAATAACGGCACAAAGTCAAGCGATGAGGTCTGCTGTCATGGTACGTCCCAGATCCCGCCGGGAAACATTTTGCTTCATTTGAATGATCAGACAACAACTTGACAGGAGTGTTGCCTTCTGCTGGAGCTAAATTTAATTGTTTAGTTTAGTCAAAATATTGATCAAGTGCTTCTTGACCAATGTCAACAGGCATAAGACAGGTGTCCTGAAACATACAATGTTGTTGTCTGTCATGCAGAAGCTCACCTTCCTCTGCAGCAGCAATACTGTCATCATTACCATTACCATCTACTGCTGTACTATCCTGTTCTGCCACACTCTCTTGTTCCCTACAAAACTCATTTAACCACACTTCATTAAAATCTACATCCTTATAATATACATTAGTCTGTTTCAAATCCTGCAAAGCCTGCTTGATGCGCATAGTATTAACAAACTGGTACTCATAATGCCCTTTGTATGTAAGCTTGCGCTTCAGTTTGACAGGTAGCAAAGATCCATCCATGTCCAACCACGGCCGCAAATTGCTCGTCTGCACAATATTAGCAGGAACACACGTTACAGGCCCATGGACGCCATTTTGCCCACCTTTAGGCAACACCAGTAGCTTCATGAATGGAATATGCAGCGCAATTAAATGTTGCTCTAAAGTATTCAAGCATGCCAATTCTGGTGGAATACAACACGTTGCCAAATTATTTAAAGCAGATTCAGGTGGCGTAATACCTCTACTAATTTTATTGTGACAGCTGAAACAAATCCACAACTGACCCCTAGCTGTATCTAACCACTGACATGGCAATACACAATCTGTACTACATTTATGCAAATACTCTTCACTAATACATCTATCTGCAATTAAACCGATTTCTTTTCTTCTACTATAATCCTTCCTTCTACAAGTTAAAACTTGATGACGAAACAACCCTCTAAAGCACACACAACAGACAAAATCCGGGCCATCATTTACTTTAGCCAAAAACTGCTTCATAACTAAATCAAACTCATTCAATGTTGCTTTTATACATTGCATCCTCAATTTGGTACGTGCAATAACACGCTGCCTATGCTGAAGATTTTGACGGTATTTTATTGTACGCATTCTCTTTACTCTGTCCCTGTGTGAAAGATTTGTCTGGTATTTTATTGTACCCAATTTCTTTACTCTGTCCCTGTGTGAAACATTTGTCCGATATTTAGTTCTACTCATTCTCTTTACTCTGTCCCTGTGTGAAACATTTGTCCAATATTTATTTTTACTCATTTCCTTCAATTTTTACTTGAACCAATTTTTTTCCTGATAATTCATTTTCATCTTTTCGAGAAATGTTTGCCTGTTTTACTGATATTTGATTTGTTTCTGTAACTTCTTTTTCCTTACAAAGTACTTATTTGGGGATTGGGCTTTTACAGATAATGTACTACACTGCTGTTCCATTACATTTTGTTCAATAATTTCTACTTTAGCTTTACAACTTGACGAAGCAACTGAAGTCAAAGTGTCTGCACAAACACTACGCTCTCGGAAATTGTACCTAGACCCACCCACTTTGCAATACCCATAGCAAGACTGCACGTTTGGCTGCTGAACACAAACAACAGTCTCATAATGGTTACCATTGCAATTTTCTAAATAAATTCCCTGATTTGACAACGGTCTGTACTTACAACTATATTCAAGCCAGCGATTGTCACAGTAAGTGAATATACTAACTCCCAGAAAATCTGCTGCTGCTTGAATCTCCACTTCAGTGGCCCAACTACCGACATAGGCCATGTTTGACACACTGAGATATTCCTCCATTGAAGAATACTCAGTTCTCAAAATACCACCATTAGCTTTCAAATGCTTAACTAATGCAAGTCTAATTTTCCTGTGATACTTTGTGTGACACAGCCTGACTAACTGCTCTAAAGAAACAGTTACCATCCCCAACTATTTTCTCCTTCAGACAAGGAGCACCCAACGGACCAACTTCTGTAGAAACTAAATCTACTTTCTCTGACTCAACATTTAACCGTTTGCACAGAATGTCTACAACTTCCCCACAAAGTGGATTAAACTGGAGCCCTTCACTCACAATATCAGCTACAAAAACCACATCTGAATCAACTGCAGCAAAATCACTGTTTTTTAACTTATTTGATGAAGACACACTACTTGATGTTTTACGCCTAATACTTGTGCAGCCAACCGTTGGCTGAACAGGTAAACTACAACCCGACTGACTTGCCCTGCGTTCTACTACTACCTTTGGACCGGATAACGAATTACTGGGTGGAACTGGACATCTGGGGATTACACAAACACCAGCAATCTCAAACTGTTTGGGAGGTTTTAATGCTGTTGCAAATTTGCAGATGTGCCCAAAAACATCATCTAGGCAAGTGAAATACACAACAACACTTTTCCCTTCCCCATCCACTATCCCATCCGCACTGCGCGCATGCGAATCAACCACAGCAAAACGACCACCTTCACCAATGATTGCACATGTATTTCCACCCAATGTCAGAAAACATGTGTGATATTTACTAAACATCTTATCTAATCCAGATCTGAGACTGGTGATTACACCAGCATCAATCAGATCACCTGTCACTACATCAATATATCCAGAAACACAATCCCCGTACTCAAAGTCAAATGTCTGTCCATCAATAACAGACTGTCGGGGCAAATCTGGAACACTAAGCAGTTCCGAAACCTCACTGGTCACATTACTGTCCCTCAATGTATTGTAGAGCTTATTACCTAACACAACAACCTTGTCCAGACTGTTGGTCTGCCATGAAAACACGCTATCAATGGAGTGTTTTGCTACTGCTACCAAACTGATAGCCATACACTGAACTCCAGCGTGTTGAAACCGAGGATCTGCCTGATGGAAAGATCCCCTGACAGAACTTGCATTACTCTGAACTGCCACCCTCGACTACAGCTGCAGTTGCAACTGTGACATCAACATCTACATCTGTCAGCAATGTAGCACTGTCAATGTCAGGATCAACTAAACCTGCCTTCACAGACACGCTGCTAATGCCATACCACTCTGCACCCAAAGACCTCTTAAGATGTCTGATATGATACATCAGGTCAAGCACGGATGTGTTGAAAACAGCTACATATCTGCCAAAATTAGATGCCAGCCCAGATGCATCACGAGTCCCAGAATCAACTACCACAAAGTACTTATTGTGATGAATAATCGCACTGACTGAACCTTGGAGGTTCAACAAACACATTCCATCACTCGGCAAAGTTTCCTGTAGCGGTTCATACATCACACTGTCGTTATCCAAAAACCCAAAATCTCCGTACACTGGCGAGGTAACGTCTACCTTCCACTTCCTGCCAAACACACTACCCTGTTCAATCAACTTACACAGTTTAATCTCAACACTGTCCTGGCTTCCTTCAGCAACTAAACTGGCCAACTTGTTGCCTTCTGCACAGATATCATCAATATCTTTCCCTCGCCATGTACAAACCGGAGCAATTACATGTTTTATCGCAGCTACAGCACTACCGCTATTGATACATTTACATCCTGAGTTAATGGTGCTGCTCTGAGTTTACCGGAAACTACTAGTACTATTGGCTCGTTTTCTAAACACCTGCAAGAAATTGGGTTAGCGTCATACTCATCTTTGACAGATCTTGGTGTGCTGACTTCCTCCTCGTCAGCTGTGGCAGGTGATGGCTCTGGGAAGGCATCCACCACGCCTGGTGTCACCGGGGCCTTAAGAAAAACAAAAAGAAAAAACCATGTATTTGTTACTTACATGTTACTTAAAGTAACTGACACAGAATTAAACTGAAATGAGGTCTTGTCATTTAAACATACACTTGTGAACCTTAAAGTTGTGTTGTATTTAACTTTAATATATACTGTATCAACAAGAAAACAGCTTTGCATGCACCATTTAAAACACATTTGTGAAATGTGTGATATGACAGCAACCACTTCCACAGCCGTGGCAGGTGAAGGCTCTGGGGATGTGTTCACCATGCATGGTGTCACCTGAGCCTAAAAGAATCAAACAAAAATTAAATATTGTGTATTAACAAAATACAGTGTTTTTTTTATCACACACACACACACACACACACACACACACACACACACACACACACACACACACACACACACACACACACACACACACACACACACACACACACACACACACAGAATAAAACTCAAATGAGGTCTTGTCATTTCAACATGTTCAACTTTGTCAACTTGGTGCATACTGCATTAACGATGAAATAGCTTTGCATTCTCCATTTAAAACACGTGTAAATGTATGGTGTAGCATGCACCAACCTCTGCAGCAGCAGCAACCACTTTCACAGGACTGGCAGGTGTGGGACGGGGACACACCTCCACAACACTGGGTGTTGCCTCAACCTGAAAAACAAACAACCAACACAAAATGTAACTACAAAAACGAAATGTAAAGTTGCCATGGATTTTCTAATGATCTAAATAACAGCCGAAATACAGCAAACACAAAGAAATATTAAATTATTGCTGCCTGTCTGTCAAACTGTACAAACCAGTAAAATATTTAATATAATAAAAACAAACCTGGCGCTTTGCAGGTCTCCTCTTGCAGGCAACAGCTTTCCGCCTACGTTCCACGACAGGTTTCTAATGCAAAGAAGGTAACCAAATAAACTTTGAAACTATATTTGGGGAAAAGCTCCTTTTGGGCGTAAGCAATTTTTAAAGGGTGTTAATTTCAGTAAGAAGCAGAAACCAACACATACAATCTGAATGCAAATTACTGTTTCGTCATGTGGAACAGCGGTGTACTCAGGGGTAGGAAGATAGGAAGGGACAACAGCATCCATGACAGCCAACATGGAACTGCTGAACCTCACGGGGTTCAGCGGGATGAAGCACTCCTTCAGCGCGACAGGAGTAGCAACAAACTAACAAATAAAAAATAAAAAAACACATAATAAAACAGTATTACAGACAATTTCTCTCATCTATAATCAATGGACAAATAACCAATTAACCTATCATAACTGTTACTTTATGTAAAAGCATAACAAACCTGCTGTTGAACCTTCATCTTTTTCGGTGCACCAGAGGACTGTGCAGGTTCCTCAGGTACCTGTACGTTCCTCTGTAATGAAAAACAGCAGATATGTTAAAAATAAGTACCCACTGACCATAACAGAAATAAACTGCTGGGAGAAAATCAGTCTCAACACCAAAATTACAGTGTGCAAATATTACCTTCCTGCCCCTCTCCACAGACGTCCACTCATAAGGGTTAGAGGGGCGAGGCACAATGACCTCTCCCCTCACAACGACCCTTGGAGTGATGTGACGAACAGGCAATGATCTCCTGGGAGCGGCCTGCGGTTTCGGTACAGGCGCCTCCAGTGACTCGTAAGCTGCAGCCCACAGCAAACGAGCGAGGACCACCATGCCTTCGCCATCACTCAAGTGAACCTGAAAAAAAGTTAGAGTAATACATTTAGTGATCATAAAATGTACTCTCAATTTGCATCTGCTATGAACTGAACTACTGCCATGTGTACATCAAACTTTTCCATTTCGTCACAATATACTCTACTTACACCATCTGGGCTCCACAGGTCCACGTTGTTCAAATGGAAGTGGCCAGAAGACGAGAAGTACTTGATACCTTAAAAAACAACAAGAACCTGATTCATTATTTACATACTTAAATAGATTATCTTCTTTTTAAATTACAAAATAATGACTATTATGGACAAAATAATAATGATAATAATTCAAACATTTTTTCAAAATATCTTTTTGAAAAGTACCCATTCTTGCTGCCACTCGATGGAACTCTTGACGCATGAACTCTTGTAGCTGAGGATCAACAGTCAGACATGGCACAAAGTCCAAGACAAAGACCTGCTCAGAACAATTGTTCACTATTAAAGTACTTCTCCTCAAAATATCATAACCTTTCAAATAAATGTACATTATACTGTAATAGCTCATGGAACCAAATTAACCCTAGTACGAAAAAGTGTAATAGTAAATACAATATAATCAATAACCTACGTTGGGCCAACGACTGCGGGCACTGTACAGGAGCTTCTGGAAGTCAGCTCCTGCCTCAAGGGGGGTCCGGCTGGCTGTCAGGTTGTTGCTGGGGGCCATGATGCAGACTGCGTCCGGGGTCCGAAGTACGTCAGCGTTAAGTAACTCAGTCCTCAGGTCGGACGCACAGGCCCCGGGTGTGGACATGACACCAAAGGAAAGCATTCCCTGTGGCATCGGCACGATCCCGTCTGCAATGGAGCGCAGTTGAGACGCTCCTACAATAAGAACAAACTGGGGGGAAAACAGAAGGAATTTCTTTAGAATGAAAATCACTAATCAATCATCAGAGCAGATATTTTGTTTATAAATTGCGAAATGCATTACCTTCTTATCAGGAGACTCAGCTGGGATGACCAGCTTGTGTTGGCGGCCTGTGACTGAAACTGGCCATTTCCTCACACGATAGCGTGTACCAGTGCCACGGCCTATTATAAAACACAGAAACAAACACCAAAATAAAACTTAATTAACCACTGCAAAATTAGTTATGACACATACACACCTTACACATATAGGCAGAATAGTTGAATGAATAAAACGTGTACTTCACGATTGGGCCACTGAGGTTCCACGTTAACCTTCTCGCGCTCTGCCTCTCTCCTCCGAGCAGCCTCAGAGCTACGAAAGGACTTGCCACGTGGCATCTAAAAGTATGCAAGAATAAATTATAATGACATTTAATCACACTCACAAGACACGTTAAGGCAGGGGTGTCAAACTCATTTTGGTTCAGGGGCCACATACAACCCAATTTGACCTTAAGTGGGCTGGACCAGTAAAAGGCATAATTAATAATAATAATTAATAATGCATAATATCAGGGTAACTTTCTCTTACAGTTAATAATGAAAACAACTTGTCAACATCTAGAAATTATTTTAAACTTACATACATTTTCACATACTGTGCAGTAAACCTGAACTAACTCACTGCAGCATACTAACTAAAGTGGGAGCTATTAGGAGTTTAGTCTCCTTTATGACAAAGTCATTTTGACTAATGAATGTTATAGTGGAACTCTTATCAGGCAAGGAATAGAGCAGCGTAACGTGTGTGTGGTAGAGGGAGAGAGAGAGAGAGAGAGCGTAAGTGAGCGCGGGAACTGCAGCAGAGCAGAGAAGTATTTTCAGTCACTGTTATGATGTTGTGGATTATATGTTCAATTTGACTACTGTAGGAGTTTAGTCATTTTAACTACAGTAAAACTTCCAATAAAAGCAGGGTCCCTAATACACACAGGTCTACTTTAAAAGGCTGCTGTGGCTCCACGCAGGTCTGCAATGATGAATGAAATGATCCGCATGTAGTAAAACGCACAGACTCAGAGCTTCAGAGGGTTTTAAACCGTTTCAATGTCCTACACAAATATAAATGTTTAAACTTCTGTCAATATGTACATAATGCACATCATTAGATCATTAGTTATAGAGTCTCCACAATTCAATCGCTCACTTCATTTTACGGAAACTATAAACACCAAAGTATAACGTTAATTCATTCGGACTTTCCGGTAACACGGTAAACAACAGAGACGGAAAAAAACTCTAAAGCGGGAATAAAGTCTGTACGGTCTGTGTCCGTTCCTCCATTATTTATATCCCTTTAACCCGTAAGAGTCCATGTATCACAACAAAAGGTTTCATTAAATTAATATCATCATGTATAGTCCATCACTCACAGTCTGTTTACTGTCTGTACGCCGGCCGGCTGACGTAAATGCAGCTGCCGTAAAGCGGCGTTCACGTTCACTGTCATGGCTGCGGCACATATGCTGCTTTCCATTTGTCTCGTGAACTCGGAATCCGAGTTGCTCTGCCACGAGAACGTGACGTCATTGCCTGGCTTGTAGTGTTCCAGTTTGTCTTTGGGCATTACGAGTCGGAAAGAACATGGACACCACCAGTGCAGCAGCTGTCTTGTTATTGTTTGTGGCTCCTCTAAACAAGCTCAATGTGAAATAATAATACGTTTTTCTACAGAAACACTAACATTTCAAGTAATTCCGTTATTGCAAGTCTTACATTTCAATAATATTTTGCCATTTTCGCCTATTTCAATTTCAACAAGTGCTGTGGCGTTTTTCTCGAGCCACCAGGGGCAGTAGCAGGCTAGTGTTATTGTTAGCTACATTAGCCTATTTAGCAAACCAGCTCGAAAACAAAACTTTACATTGTATTGCACGCACAGCAACACCGTGCAATGCATAAATTGGTGACCGGACTAAAGCAGCAATGTAAACAAGTGTGTAGGAGCATTAAAGATCGACATTAAAATGACCAACATAGTACAAATACAAAGAAAATACATCTTAATATGGGCGCTGCCATCTTTGTTTTGCGGATCGTACGTGACCCCCGTCCAGCTGAAATTCCGACCAAAAGGGTCTCTGTGAAATCTCGCAGGATAGCTGCGAGATTTACACTTTCCAACTCGGATTCCGAGTTCACGAGAGAAATGGAAAGCAGCAATATAAAACAGCAGTACGAGCTAAAATGTACCGTAAGTTACCTATTACCTGTGAAATGTGCTATACGAAACTGAAGAGAAGCAGTACAGTTAGAGAATATTTCCATATGTGCTGAGCAACAGTTTGTGCTAAAGAAAATAAACGCAGGTCCCCAATTCAGTGTTTTAAGCAAATACACGCCGGACAATTATTATAAGTTTTACGGTATTTTATTTACTGTTAGTGCTTTGTTCAGCAATGCATCATATTCATTAACATAATCATAAATTCGTATCAATAATAAAGATTGTAATTTTTCAAATAAAGATTGTAATTTTTCAAATTAAACTCACCATAGAAGGCAAATCTGCTTCCAAAGTGAATGAAAGTGGTGTGAATGTGTGTGTGTGTGTGTGTGTATGTATATATACATATACAACTCTCTCAATATCTCTCAGTATCTCTCAGGGTTTGCGTACACAAAAACAGCTCCGTATCTCTCTCTCTGTTGTTGTGCTAGCAAGAATGACAGTTAGCTTACGGGGAACCTATATAGGCTACTGGCGACATTCGAAAAATTCCGTTCAACCAATCAGAACGCGGTACAGGAAAGTGGGTGGATCATTACAATGAACTGTGTTGTACAATCATGTGAAACTGGACATTAATTATCTGATAAAAATGTTTAGGAGTACTCATACAATGTTTTATAATTTTCAGAAATAAAGGTATATGTGTCTGTTAATTTATTTTAGCTAAAATAAAAGATATAGCCTAAACCCTCAACCCAGCATGAAATGGTTCAGTCCTACCAATCTGCAAACCCATTTCTCATAAAAAAAAACCAACCGGAAATAGAATGTCAAAATAAATGTCGTATTGAATGCTTTAATTATAAATTATGTAATGGATTTTTAAGTAATTTAGTACCATAAACACAAAAGTGCTGAACAGTAATTAAAAAGTACACACAACCACAACCTGACATGTAATGAGATGCTTTAAGTACATTCAATATTATTATTAATAAAATTGCAGTTTACAACCTCCCCATTCACTTATTGATTTGTTTACATTAAATAAACACTATCAAATTAATGACGGCTACAGACACTAATAAATTAAATAATTTTAGCATATTCATATACATTTTCTACTCCAAAGTTATATGTGTTGTCAACAACACAAGACTGTGTGAAAAACTCTCAATTTTCCTGTGGTGACCTATCAACACATGGCTAATTTTAATATTCAAATGAGCCATGTGTTCACAACAGGCACTCATGCACAGTTGCTAGGTTACCACCAGGCTGTCAATCAAGCTCTCAGCCACAGAGAACTTAATGTTACCCTTTATCTATCCAGATAAAAACATTAAGAACAGTTTCTGTATGATGTTTATTAGACCTATGTAATCTGAATGGGAAGGGCAGTTGTGATGAGCTGTATCTCGTATATTATTATTAGGTATGTGGTATGTGTATGCACCGTTATATAATATGGTGGAAAACCATTAAAATTTAAAACCAGATCATACCAATAAAATATCTGCTTGCGTGTCCCCAAGCCTGTGTATTCTTCACCCATTCAAACACAGAAATACAATATTACTGTGCAGCTGTTTCTTTACTGCCAACTAAAGCTTGTTTATTAATACTTCAACATATCGGGAGATAGGATGTGTTTTCTGTGGTACAACATTTCTGGACATATGACACAAACCTTGACAAGACATGAACCTCTTATTTTATGAAAGTTTTAAATGCTTAATAACCACAGAAACGATTTAAAATTTTGGAAAAATCTTTATTTAATTTTTTTTAATTGCCCGGAGCATCCTCATGCTCCTCCTCGTCCTCCTGCTCTGTGTGCTGGTGCTGCTGGCCCGGATCGGGCTGCTGCTCTGCGTCTGCACACATGGACACAGATACAAATAAATCTTCATTTTATCAGTCTTCGATCCAATTAATAAAGAATAAAAATATATTCACTCACTCAACAAGCAGACTTATGATCAGTTGAATGTTAAATCTTAATCTATTATTACAGAAACACACATTATCTGTAGCATGAAAACCACAAAAAACACGAACACTTGCTGAGAGGAACCGCAAACACCATTCGGAGGTCCTCAACCTGCTGGAGGGCCTGCTCCAGCTGCCGGCGGTAGTCCTTGGACTGGCGGGTGACATCATCCACTTCACGCCTTAACAGGGCAACCTGCCGCTGGGAAGCCCTGTTAAGGCGCACCTGGCGAACCAGGCCACCCATGGCCCTGACATGGGCCTGGAGGACCCGCCGATACGCAACGGGTCTTTGGACCTCGACGTCCATAACCGTACACTGTAAATACAAAACAACCAATATATCAAGCACATCATGATTGACATATGCATATATGCATCGTACATCAGGAGCAGAGATGAATGCTGCCTTAATTAACAGCAACATGTTCAGGGCGGGACTCTGATAAAACATGTGAAGTTTCGTTGCAGTCGGATCATGTACGCAGAAGTTATGACGAATCCCTCTTTCATGGCGAAGGTTTGAAATTGGATGCCACGGGACGCCACGCCACGGGCACAATGTTGGAAGAAAAAAACTGACTGCACTGACCAATTTTGAAGTAGCTCCAATAAAACCTGTAGGAGGAGTTAGGTAAAATAGAAGCCCTGAAATGCCAAAGATGACATCACAGTGTGACATTCGTTCAAAATGGCCAACTTTGACGGCACGCCACGGACACGCCCTTCAACGTACAGTCGCAAATAGCACAACTTGTAATCAGCAACATTATTTAAGAGTACTGTCAAGTTTTGAAGCAGATCTGATAAATTCCCTAGGAGTTTGTTTGTTCAAATACAAGACCACAGACTTCAAAATGGCCAACTTTGACGGCATGCCACGGAGATACCCTTCAACGTACAGTCAGGAAATGAACAGCGTTCATTCAACAGCATTTTGTGACTGCTCTGACCAATTTTGAGCGTTTTTTTGTGTCGTATTTGAACCAACTCCTCCTAGAGAATTTATGAGATCTGCTTCAAAATTAGTCAGTACAGTCAACATATGTTGTTGTGCTATTTGTGACTGTACGTTGAAGGGCGTGTCCGTGGCGTGCCTTCAAAGTTGGCCATGTTGAATTTTGCAGCCATTTTCTGCAATTTTTCGCCTTGCATTTGAACGAACTCCTCCTAGGGAATTTATTGGAAGTACTTAAAAATTGGTCAGTACAGTCAAAAAATGGTGTTGATTAAAAGTTGTGCTATTTGAGACTGTACATTGAGAGGCGTGTCTGTGGCATGCCGTCAAAGTTGGCCATTTTGAATTCTGTGGTCATACAAACTGATTGAAAAGTTGAGCTATTTGTGACTGTACATTAAACCACGTGCCAGTGACAACTTGTCCATTTCAGCAGATTCGCCATAAAATAGTACTCATAACTTCAGTGTGCAATGTCCAATCTCCAATAAACTTAAAATATTCTGAAATAGTTTTGACGTGAACACGTCCTCATAACTTCAGCGTACATGGTCCAATATCAATGAAACTTCACGTGTTTGATAACAGTCTCGCCTTGAACATGTCTACGTGACAATAAATAGTGATAGCGCCACCTTCTGGCAACAGGAGGTAAGCACTGCGTGGCGATTTTGAGCTGATTAACGGCAGATTTTCATGTTGTGGTCCGCACGTGTTACGACGGCATGCGACGCGGCCGCAGCACGCCTTGTTTTGACCGAGTCAGCGACCGGCAAGGTCCCTATTGTTTTTGCTTGATTTCTTCTTCTTACCTATTATTAGGGATCGAGCACTGACCAGTGCAAGACCCTATTGTTCCTGTAGGAATTATTATTAGGGATCGAGCACTGACCAGTGCAAGACCTTATTGTTCTTCTAGGAATTATTATTAGGGACCTCGCAAGCGACCGCTGGAGGTCCCTACTGTTTTTGCTCAATTTCTTACCTATTATTATTTTTAGGAACTTTGATTGCGTTTTTCCCCCCCTGAACATATACGAAAACTCAATTTTATTTGGCAAAGTTGTCAGGCCTGGTGAAAAATTTGATATTATATGCATCACTTATGGGTCGGCCACTAGGTGGCGCTACTATTAAGGAAATAGCGATGACTTTTTTGATACTTTATAACTCCCACATCGTTTGTCGCACAAACTTATATCCACGCGTTCAGTGAATGGAGCTCAATCTCCCCATATAGGCCCCGCCCACTTGCGCCCATAATTTTTCTTCGCTACAGTGCGAAATGTCCGTGAACTACTTTTTCGTGTTCCTCCTACACGCGTTGTCTGATTTGCACAAATTTTTTCACCTAGCACCTGGGGACCGCCCTGGTAAAAAGAGTAATTTGAACATTTTTGAAATTTCTAAAAATAAGCACGCTATAAAATTAAGACTTCCTGTAGATTTTTCGTCAAAAAAGGAAGTGGACTATTTCTCCACATTGGTATGTGCGATTGACACCAAACTTGGGTCCATAGTTCACCATGTCTTCTTTAGGCATTGTGCACAGTCTTGAACAATTTGATGCCACCGCCACAAGGTGGCGCTCTTCAAAAGTAAAATGTTTATATTTCTGCATAGGTATGTGTGATTTAAATGAAACTTGGTACGATGCTTCCCCATGGCTTCCTGAGGCTCCCTTGAAAAGGACAAAAAAAATACACTACTAGGTGGTGCTCTTTTGGCATGAAAAATCACTGTGCGGAGACCGCAATAGTTATGAATATGAAATTCACAGGGCATGTTTAGAGTAGTGCCTGAAGCTCACATACCAAAAATCGTGTTTGTCGTGTGTGAAGCGCCCCCTACAGGATAAAAAAACAGCAGCCCCGGCGCCACGTTTCACCGATATGTACGAAACTCGGTAGGCACGTGTAACATGCCAGGACGTACAAAAAAGCCTCTTGGACCCATACCCCAAACCCCACAGGAAGTCGGCCATTTTGATATAAAGTTTCACGTTCGGCAAACTTTTCGCATTGTATTTGAACGAACTCCTCCTAGGGTATTTATCGGATCTACTTCAAAATTGGTCATTACAGTCAAAAAATGGTGCTGATTAAAAGTTGTGCTATTTGTGCATGTACGTTGAACGGCATGTCCGTGGCGTGCCCTCAAAGTCAGCCATTTTGATTTTTTTGCTCATTTTCGGTGAATTTTTTGCATTGTATTTGAACAAACTCCTCTTAGGGAATTTATCGGATCTGCTTCAAAATTGGTCAGTACAGTCAAAAAATGGTGCTGATTAAAAGTTGTGCTATTTGTGCATGTACATTAAAGGGCGTGTCCGTGGCGTGCCTTCAAAATTGGCCAGGTTGAATCAAATGTCAAACTGTTACGCCATTTCCGGCATTTTGCAATGATTTTCAAAACAAGATTTGTCATTAAAATACGTGGTTGTTAGTGGATCACGCGTACGCCGAATTAAACACAGGTGTCTCCCCTCATTGTACTGTAAACTACTCGGCAGTGTCAGTAATGTATGGGCCAGTGTCACGGGCCAGAGCAAGGCACAATCAAAATTTCTTTAGGAATTTTCTAGTTTGTTATATAATGCTACATACTAACTCTGCACTGAGTCTATTACAGGTAATTGTTATATATGCATACAGCGCATGTGTCTTTAATTGCTAAATTAAATGCATCAGCTTGTATATTACAAGTGATGAAAATGAGAAATATCCAGTAGGTGGCGGTATAGCTTCACTGCATAAATTAGAGTTGTTAAAGCATTGTATCTTATTTTGAAGGAGGAAAGTACGATCCCAGATGAGTTGATGTTATTTTGTCAGTCTCAGGAACAACTTAGTACCCCCATAACACCAGCAGTGTTCAATGTTTACAGCGGGCGGACACGGCCATTCGACTGGGGACACCGACAGCACATGGCTAAATCACTGGTGTTAGCATCCTTTTACAGACTCTAGTAAAGACGGAGCAAAAGTAAATGGTTAAAACGATACACGGTTAAATAGGTAAGAAGTTAGTCTTTACTTTAACACCTTAAAATCAACCGAAACCATTACATGATCATTTAACTTAGTAGTTAAAGGGAATTTATATAGAATATTAGCATGAAAAACGATCGGGTCTGAGTTCCAGTACGTTAATTTTTTGTTTTGATTCTTTAGTGTGCACTTTTTGTTCTCAGATGTTGCACTACTGTTAAAAATATGTTTCAAAGTTTATTTTTTGTATATTTATTATTGAACAGGTTTATTCTTTTGCACATATTGTGGGGATGGGGCGCTATCAGTAAAGCTCGCCTAGGGCACCAAATGGTCTAGGACCGCCCCTGATCTAGAACAAGTGTTTGATTTGTTTTTCTGGGCTACTGTACAAATATGGCAAACTACATAGAAGAGAACCAACTCCCTCTGGAGATAGAAATGGCTCATTCTAAAGTAACAAAAACACAACAATTCTTATTTTCAGATGATTACACAAAGGAAAATACATATTTCTGCCAGTAGAGCCTCCTAAATATTACACACTGGACTTTTAAGGAAGACCGAGTGAACGACTCATTGAGTGATTGATCAATGTAATGGTAATCTGGTAATCCCCCAACAGGGGATTAATAAAGTATATGAAGAAAAAAAAAACTAAATCTAAATTAAATTAATTAATTCAAGGAGGCAGGTTTAACTTCAAAGAACCAAGGAAATGTATTCATCATTATATAACACATGGCTGTTTTATGAAATGAAAGTTTACAGTCCTTTCATTCTACACTCATAGAAAAAGAAGATCAAATTCATGGATTAACATAAAAGATAAATAAAATTAAAGCTGAAAGAAGCGATGAACAGCCCGTCGCACTCCACGCAACTCAGGGTGTGCTGCAGCCGCGCCACGTGCTGTTGTAACACTTGCGGATCGCAACATGAAAATTTCACGTAAATCAGATCAAAATCGCCACGCAGCGCTCACTTCCTGTTGCCACTAGGTGCCACTATCACTATATCTGAATATTATCACATAGATGTGTTCAGGGTAGGACTCTTATCAGACAAGTACAGTTTGGAGGCAAATGGACAATGTACATGCAAGTTATAGCAAACTCACGTTTTGTGGCAGTACATCAAAATTTCATGCCATGCCACAGACACGCCCAGTCACCACATTCATCACATATCATCAACAATGTGTTTTGCATTTTATAG